TGGTGTGACTGCACCCAAACAAGAATACGGTATGTGGCTAGGTCGCCAGTAGTTATGCATGTATTTAGATTTTCCTAAACATATTTAGGAAAATCTATACATTTAAAATTAGGCGGCTTTGCCGCAGATAAAAGTAAATAAAAATCAGCTTTGGGTTTTAAATGGAAGAGTAATTATCCTTGAGTCAAGGCAATGACTACTCTTGGAGTAAGCGAATTGCGATCTGCTAACTCGTACTTTTTCTAAGTATAGAATGAAAGGTCGGTGACCTAAATTACGCTCCCTCTAAGCGCAACGCTACGGCAGCCCCGCTGCACTTGGTAGCACTTGAAGTCAATCTACACCTGAGTCGTTTAGACTGGACCTCTGTGAGGATGGAATTTTCCTCTTTGCCTCAGGGCTTGCAGGATGGGCTTAACAAGCTGATGTCCATGCTTGGCCCTGAGGGCGTGCAACACCTAGCGGCGCAAGGCCCCGAGGCAATCGGTGCGCGTCTAGATGTGTTTTCAAGTTTCGAAAACGCACTACTAGAGCACCTGCAGTAGAAGATGTCTGCATCATTTGCGTCTATGACGCCACCGTCGGTGACGGAAGTTTTTCCCCGTTCCAAGCCGCTCATGGTGAGTGTTAAGATATTCGAATGGAAGGATGGAGAGAATCTCCTGCTCTGGGTGAGATGAGATGGCCATCGCATCCGCCATGCTCCAGACCGAGCAACAGCGCGTGGCTCTAGCCATCTCAAAGCCCGGTGGTTGAGCGCGAGAATGAGCACTGACGTGCGGCACTTCGGTCGAAACTGCGTTTCCTCCTGCGCTGAGCTAAAATTGCAGATCTCAATCAGGCATATCGCGTACGATCGCGCTCCCTTGCCGCCCGGCAAGGCAACAAGAGATTGGTGGACTTTGTCCAGGAGATGCGCACTCTCGTTGCCGGGATGGCAGCATATCCCCTTACGGAGGCGGTCACAGTGACCGTCTTTATGGAAGGCCTCCGCACTGACGTGAACAGAATGGAAGTCTTCCGTGTGCATCCGTCCTCATTTGAAGAGGCAATGAATGTGGCAATGAATACCACATTCAATTTCAAGTCGGCACGACTTGGTTGGAATGCACACTCCAACTATTCGTCGAGCGGGTCTAAGTCCATGAATTGCAGCTATGCTGAGGACGAGGGAGCAGAGCTCCGAGCTGCCGAGCAGCACGCAAATATACGACGGTGTTTTGTCGGTGGAGTCACCCGTCATCCTCGAACGGTTGCCCCCTGCGCAAGGCGCATCAAGGTTCTTAGAGCCGTCGCCCCAATTCAAACCAGTCTGGTTAGTCGCGGGGAAACGACACTACTCAGTAGGTGAGGGGCGACCTACTGGGGTTAAACTGAGTTCTTTTGAGCCTCAGGGAGGCATAGGGTCAACAGGGCCCAACCCCGAAGAGCTCCGTGCTTTTGAACCCGGAACGTGTATGCAAGCCGGGCTTGTTGGTCGTGGAGGCGACCGCAAAGGGCTTCGAGAAGCCATGGAAGATCCTAATCGATTCCGGGGCGTCGGACAATTATGCTCGACGCTCCACGATGGAACGAAGTCAGCTGTATGT